ACAAGGTAAAGAAGAAAATGAACAGAGAAACAAGAAAAATAAAATTTAAATCAAAGAAACCCTACCCTAAGTAAAAATAAAAGATCCCTAGCTCCCTCCCTAAATAAACCCAACCCTAAACGAGCCCCAAACAACACTTCAAATCTCTATCTGAGATTGAGATCTAGTATTCATCAGATGCGGTCGTTGATTCCTGTTTTTATACATTCTTTTTTTAGTGTTCAGGTTTTTTGTAGGTAAGTAATTCTCCCGAGTGACTAGTAGAGTCTGTTGGCAAATAGTCTCATTTGTATCAGAATGTCAAAGATCTTCCATCGTCGAAATAGGAACTCTTTTTCGTTCTCTGAGATGTGACCTAGAAACTCATCCCCTGAAAAGGTGGAGTGATGATCTCCATAAAACTAGGAGTTGGAGTCTTCTTCTCACCCTTCTTCTCAGTACTTGGAGCATTTTTTTAGCTTTACAAACCATGTCTTTTGAAGGTGCAGAGTTGACGTTTAACCACCGTGTGACTATGGGCAAGGGCGTCAGGCGAGCGTGTATATATGGGTGCACCCCAGTTTTGGGTGATACGTAGTACGGAGTATACACTTTTGCATAAGTTTGCACCCTAACTTTAAATGGGCCAATGGGTTGCAAAGTCAAAGAATTTTGAAGTAGAATGAGGTGCAAAATCAAAGTTTTCTCAAAATGGGGTGCAAAGTCCAATAACAACCAAAATCAAAGTTATAAACTTTAAATACGCAGTAGTTAGCTTTTCTACATTTTTTTGAATGAAATAGTCCTATGAATATCTTCTATTATACAAAAGCAAGTGGAAAATGTGAACAGTGTTCCCGCTCAAAAACATCACATTCACGGGTCGGGTCGGGTCTGCAGCGGGTCAGGTTCGGTCTCCAGTGGGTCGGGTTAGGCTTAGAAGAAAAATCAACACTACTGCTTGAACCCATTTAATGCCCTGCATACTTTATGGGGCTGCTTTTTTAGAGCATTCCCAATGTTATAATGTGCACGGTGCACATGTGGCATGAGTGATAGCCACATAAATATTAGCATATAAATTATCTCTCTCCTTATTTGAATGATTTTATACAATTTTGATAAGTTTTTCCCTGCAATGTCAACAACAATGTCAACATCTAGACGGTCTCCTTGACATTGTGGAGAAAAACTTACCAAAATTGTATAAAATCATTCAAATAAGGAGAGAAAGAATTTATTTACTAATGTTTGTGTGGCCATTTCTCATGTCACGTGTGCACCGTGCACATTTTACCATTGGAGATGCTCTTACTTTATGGGCGGCGTGTTAGCAAATTATGCATACCAAAAGTACAAGTCATTTAATTCAAACGGCTGAAAAGACGCATATAATGTAATTGGCAGACCGATGAAACAAATATATCTATTATCCAAGGTATATTAGATAGTAATTGCATATATCAAAGCAAATCTCCATAAAATGCAATTAATGCAGTCCAAAAGAAGTTCAGCTTTTGACTTTTCAGACTTGGTGGCTCAATGCTTGCATTGAATGCATGAGAATCTTTCCCTGCAAATATAAAAAAACGTACAGCTGTGATTAATTTATTGTTTAATGCAATAAAGAGGACAATCTGAATATTAAAAAAGGGTCTGTGTCATTTAATGTTTGTACTATAAAGTTTAAATTAAAGATTGATGAGTAGGAATAGGATAATTAAAGTTAAAAACCCATTAGCTTCCTCCAGCCAGTATATAAACCCATTCGATGGGTTGCAACCCATCACTACTCTAGGAGTGGGGAGAATGGGAGAAACCAGAAGTTGTTAAGAGGTAAATTGTGTGCTTGAATCTCTTCTCGAAATTTATTCAAATAAGAATTTTATGTGTTTTTTGTAGTATTCATCTCAGGTTAACCAAAAATCAAAATATCAAAAACGGTGTATTGATGGTACAGTGCGTAATTACTAATATCCAGCTTATTGGTAAGACTCAATCTTTAATTATTTTTAGCATTCCTAAATGAGGAAAATATTACAATTATTGTTTTAATTATCTTTAAAACAATATTACAACTAATTGTTCGCATTTTTAAAATATGTATTAAAAACCATTTAGAAAATGAAATTAAATACTTTTTAAATGACATGAAAAAGAAATAAAGGATACATATTAGTCGGGATTGTTTCATTATCAAACGGAGGTTGGTATCATTGGTCATGGACTAAAAACAAAACCAATATAAATTTTAGGGATGAAAAACAAAGAAAATATTTTGGAGGGACCTAAAACAAAGTGAGCTATAGATTGTAAGGTTTTTCACATGAAGGTAGTCAAAGAGGAATGCAGAATTGCAGATATCATTGTCCGAATCAACAAAAGAGCAAGAAGAAGAAACAGCAGGCTACCATCATAAGTAGCAGCCTGCTAGTTAAAGTACATCCACAGGTACAACAGATGGGTCGAATTCAAAGAACAGTTCTAGAAACCAGATGACTTGAAGTTGATAAAGTGCACAATAAGTTGTTTTTTTTTTGGAATAATATAAGTTGTTGAAAAACATGTTTATTTTAGTATTTAATAATAGGAAAATTTGTTTTAAAGTCATATTTGAATAATATTTAGCTTGTGACCAAATCGGTTCAATGTTTAATTAACTATTCGTATTGTTAAACAAATACAAATCCAAATTAATATTCGTTTCATATTTGAATCAAAATTTGTATTCAAAGAAAATAAACAAATACAAATACAAAATCACACTCTGTCGGTCCGTACAGATTAAAAAAGTGCTTAGACTCCTATTTTTCTGCATTCCACCGCTGTCAAGACGAATGACCAATTTTTTTTCAAGGTCAGTAAAATCATCATCTTTATATGATCATCAAATAACACTCGATTTGAACTTATCATTTTCATCGAGATGACGTATGACATATCAAAAAAATGTGCGACTACTGCATGCGTTTATTATTATTTGTTTTTTTAAACAATTTGTTTATAAATGTTAATACTAAAAATGTCAGGTTTAATAAAATTTCAATTTTGATATGCGTGTTTGGAAAAAAAGTATTAGACATCTAGTACGGAGCAATATTTTACTACCTCCGTCCCGGTAGACTTTGCCAAGTGCAAGTTAGGTGACTAATAAGAATAGTAAGTTTTAGACTTTTAGAAGAAAAAAAATCAATCTTTTAGGATGCTAACTACTACGTAGTATAGTACCTGTGCATACACACGGGAAAAAGTAGTTGATGCATATATTTTTACTCATGATTTAATTAAATATTAAAATTTAAAAAAAAAAACAATTCAGATTTCTACATTTTCGATGAAGAGTATATTAGGGAAAATTAATAGACACCACTCATTAGATTTTGCTACTTATTAATTTTCATGATTACAATAAATATTAAAATTAATACTACTCTAAAAAAGTGATTACAATAAGTTAGTGACATGAAGTGAATACAATAAATATTAAAGTTAATGATATTACTTAAATAAAGATTTGCTACTCATTGGATAAATTAGTGCTAACATATGAAAGAAAAAATTAGGGCCTGTTTACTAACAGAGATATTTTCTAGTTTTCCAGAAAACTGGAAAACTGGAAAACAGAAAACAGGAAACGTGTTTACCAAAGAAATTGCTGGAAAACTGGAGAAAGGGAAAAATAAAAACGTGTTTACCAAATCGTTTTCCAAACCGGAAAAAATGAGATATGTCTCTCTTTTCCTTAATGATTTGGAGAAGTGACTTTTACTAATTTTCCAAATTTGGAAAACGCAGATGCTACAGTGTCGCTGCAATGAATTTGCACACTTACACCTAGTGGTGGGTCCGGTCCCGCTCCGATGTCGATTCCATTCCGATACCTCCATCCTCGTACCTTACCCCTTACCCCTACCCTACCCTACTCTACCCTACCCTACCCACCCTGCGTACCCATTTTTCCCTATAATGACCCTACCCCACCCTCTACCACATGCCCCTACCTTGGCCCCACCCCAATCCACCCTACACCACCCCCTACCACCTCGACCCCACCCTGACCCACCCTACCCCCACCCGTATATTACCCCTTACCACATGCCCCCTACCTCGGCCCCACCCCACCGCCATCCTACCCCCCACCCTTCCGCCATCCTACCCCCACCCTACCCTTCCCCTACCTCGGCCCCACCCGGATCCCGGGCCCACCCTACCGCCATCCTATCCCAACTCACTATCCTACCCCTTCCCTACCTCGGCCCCACCCTGTTCCCGGCCCCACCTTACCGCAATCCTATCGTAACTCCCTACCCTACCCCAACCCTACCCACTACCCCACCCTTACCCCTAACCCACCCACTACCCCCCACCCAACCCCCTAAACCCTAGACCTTACCACCCCACCCCCGACCATACCCCTTACCCCACCCCCACCCATAACTTCCCTACCCCGACCCCTACGAGTAGGTATGGGTGGGTATGAAAGGTTGTGGGGGAGTATGGGTAGAGTGTAATATCGTGGTAAGGGTCGGGGTAGGGTCAAGGGTGTGGAATTGGAGAACTGGGTGAAAAAATCGATGAACATGTTTTCAGATTTGAAAATGGAAAACTAAAATATAGAAACATAAAATTGGAGATAGAAAAACTAAAAAAATAAAAACAGAAATTTGGAGAACAAAAAACAGAAGTAGAAAACGGGAAAATATCTCTGTTAGTAAACAGGCCCTTACCTTGCTAACATATGAGAAAATTCTTCCACTCAATTGTTTTTCTGATTATTTTAAAAGAACTACATATGAGAGAAAAATTTCTCCCGCTCAATTGTTACCAAACTTATCTTCTACGGATTACTTTGTAGTAATAATACATAAGAGTATTACATATGAGAGAGAAAAGTTTCTCTGAGCTTATATCTAAAAGCACTATATATGAGAGAGAAAATTATTTTGCCCAATTCTTAGCCGGATTATCTTACCGTATACCAAAATAATGCACTATATATGAGAAAAAAATTCTCCTATAATTACGTAATTCCGTTTTTAATTTACTTTATGTTGGTCCAAAATAGGACGCTCGTAGGCTTTTAGGAAAGCTACGTAAGAATACTCAAGCAGAAATCAAGAAAGTAAGAACAAATATGGAAAGTCGCTAGAGAGTTTGATAGCCAGAAATAGCCTCTAGAAGTTCCTCCCCTAATCTGAATTACAATCTGCCTTTTATAGGCGTATACAAATCGTAACCGCTATCGATAATAATAATTAATTAATTACAACATTAATACGAAATTAAATACATAATTAAACAACGCATTAATTGCTTGACCGTTACTTTTCCCAGCTGACAGGTCGGGCGGACTGACAGGCTCCCCGCTGGACTGGTAGATAGGCTCCAGGTTGTGGACTTGGATCCATGGGTCCAAGTTCGGGGCTTGGGCCGATTAGGCTCTGGGCCTAGTCCTATTACTCCATCACGAGTCCCCCACTCCCTTAGTCGAGTAGTAAACTCGGCTAAGAGGGAGTAGTCCAAGTCAGTTGCTCTTCTTCGAGACTGGAAGATCCCCACCCTTGTCCATGTCGGGGAGATGCCTCATTAAAAACCTTCATTAGGAAAAAACCCAATGGGAAAAAATCCCAATGAAGGGAAAAAGAGTACACCTGACGCCCCCAAGATGAAGAAGAGGTGAAATCCTCAGCCTTTATTGCAATGCTCGCCATCTGTGAAGAGGATGACTAGAACCGTTCTTCTCGTCGGGCTTGAACTCATCAGGCTACTCCTCGTTCAGTCGTACCTACACATAAAAGCAACAGGTGTATAATAGAGCGTTTGGTCTGGTGTTGAACCACGACTCAGTGAGTGAGTGAGTCGGACTCACTACTTGAAAAGAGTGACATCAATTTCCCAAGTTAGGACTCAACCCAGTCTCCGAAAGGAAGATTGAATTCGCAAGTAAGTGACTCGGAGTCACCATTCGAACGGATAATCCAACCCCACAGAACTAAAGTATATCGACCTTTTCGGGAAATGTGAATGTCAATTAAATGAGTGAGTGAGTCGGACTCACTACTTGAAAAGAGTGACATCAATTTTCCAAGTTAGGCCTCAACCCAGTCTCTGAAAGGAAGATTGAATCCGCGAGTAAGTGACTCGGAGTCACCATTCGAACGGATAATCCAACCCCACAGAACTAAAGTATATCGACCTTTTCGGGAAATGTGAATGTCAATTAAGTGAGTGAGTGAGTCGGACTCACTACTTGAAAAGAGTGACATCAATTTTCCAAGTTAGGCCTCAACCCAGTCTCCGAAAGGAAGATTGAATCCGCGAGTAAGTGACTCGGAGTCACCATTCGAACGGATAATCCAACCCCACAGAACTAAAGTATATCGACTTTTTTGGGAAATGTGAATGTCAATTAAGTGACAAAATTGCTTGAAAGAGCATGGCTCTAGGCCCCTAAAAAGAGGTTAACTCACCGCCCGAGGTTAGTAGTTCGAACCCGCAAGTGAAGACTTTGAACGGGCGACTCGTCCCCCGAGGTCGGAGTGTGATGCACTAGGAAGGGGTAAGAGCACACAAGAACTCGTACGAAATCAAAAGTGTGCGCGAGTGGTATTAACATTTATATTGGAGCTTATAAATCGCCACACCCATATGACATGATCCGGTGGCGCGAGTGTGTGTGCTCGGCCATTGTACGAGTGTGTGTTCTCGTCCGGTGTACGTGAGTGATCGGATTTCATAAGTCCGTTTTCAATGTTAAAATTACACACATTTGAAAAGAGTAAAAGCAATTATACCACTTAATTTATCTTTTCAAGTGATTCAATTTATGATTTTTTTATTGAATCATTTTATATTTTTTTGATCAAATATTGTCACATTTTCTCACATACAAATTGTACGGATGGAGTTTTGAATACTTAGCTTTTGGCATGGGCTGAAATTGGGTTGATGGAATTGTGACCCATCATCGTGAGGATTAATTTTAGGCTTGATGCAGTCTTTGCATCCTACTCATTCTTTCGAGCTCCCGCTAGGCCTGGAAAGAAGGCAGCCTACCGCTATGTCCTGACTCCGGAGAGAATGGGAGATCCAGATCAGAAGGGAGCCATCGCCGCTGGGAGCCTTCACCACTCAGAAACTCGGAAACCGTCTCCCTGGGTGCTGTCTCCTTGGAAGTCTTCCCCAACATGTCTTGCCGGCCAGAGCTTATTCGTTATCTTGCACCGCCGAGTGTGGCATTCAGATGAACTGAAGACGCAGACCTGGAATCTTGGTCATTGACCTGTTCACTTCCTGCGCCTGGTTTGTGAGCGACCTGCCGCTCGCATTTGTTCCTCATGGGTTTCATGAAGATGCTGACAGCCTAGAAGCCATAGGGCCGACCGCTGCGAGCGACGCCTGATGATCCCCTGTCCTCGCCGCCGCCAGATTTGAGGCTTGCCGACCTATTGCTCGTTGGGCAAGGGAGTTGCGACCTGGACAATCTGCCTTGCTAGAGCTCGACTTGGAGGCACCGTCGGACGACGAAGAGGGGAGATGAAGAAAAATGGCGAGCGCCGAGCCTAGCGGCGCTTCGTTGGAGGTGGCAGTACTCGGCCATTGTGTTTCGTTCCTAAGCGTAGTCGGATCCAGGAACTTTTGACGTCCTTCTTCCTCACTCTCCACAAGCTGAACAAGATTCTTCCATGATCTGATTTTTTTAGAATAGATTCTTGGCTGGATTTTCTGCATGATTGTGGTGAATTTTAGTTTCTTTTGGGGGATGGGTCTCACCTGATTTTTGCCAAATGTTTCTTGATTCCTACTCAAATGTTGGAGAGACAATAGAGGCTCTCAATGAAAGCACCAATGTTGGTCCAAAATAAGACGCTCGTAGGCTTTTAGGAAAGCTACGTAAGAATACTCAAGCAGAAATCAAGAAAGTAAGAACAAATATGGAAAGTCGCTAGAGAGTTTGATAGCCAGAAATAGCCTCTAGAAGTTCCTCCCCTAATCTGAATTACAATCTGCCTTTTATAGGCGTATACAAATCGTAACCGCTATCGATAATAATAATTAATTAATTACAACATTAATACGAAATTAAATACATAATTAAACAACGCATTAATTGCTTGACCGTTACTTTTCCCAGCTGACAGGTCGGGCGGACTGACAGGCTCCCCGCTGGACTGGTAGATAGGCTCCAGGTTGTGGACTTGGATCCATGGGTCCATGTTCGGGGCTTGGGCCGATTAGGCTCTGGGCCTAGTCCTATTACTCCATCACTTTATAATGTTAGATTGTTAGGGCTTTGATTTTTTCGTTCATAGCGAGTATATCTCAACAAATAGAAGAACTTCTGCTTTATAGGTTTTTATTAATGAGCCCGTTTGGTGTTCATGTACATTTTAAATATAATTTTTTCCCATAAACAAGATAATTAGCAATCCAGTCCTGCAAAACTTCATAAATTATATTACAACGGAACAACCGATATAGTCAATTTCAGTGTTACTAAACGGACTCAGTGAATTGAGGAGAGTTTGACACATAAGATTCATTAAGGGTAAAATTGTATTTTGATGAGCTATTTCTTTTCTTAAATATAAATAGACTGCCTAGCTTTAGCGGCGCCGGCCATACAATTAATTCTACTGAGTAGTATTTAATACTCCGTAATTGTATTGTAAGAATAAAAAAACATAAATATCTCTAAATATGAGTAAAAACGTTTTGAAATTCCAAAACAGGAGTATCATTTTTTTATTCCCTGAATATGAGTAATCTGTCAAGTTTGTGAAAAATTCCATGTTTAAAGCCTTGTAATGCCAAACTGGGCAGAAATTTACTTCTATTTAGGGAATAAAATACATGATACCCGTATTTTGGAATTTCAAAACGTTTCCACTCCTAAGAATTCTCTCTAAAAAAGGGGCACATGGAGGAGCTTTTCTTTTTTGCTCAAGTATTGTTGATTGATGTGAGTTTTCTCGCACTTAAAATAGATTGTAATATAGTGGTGTAAGTACGAGTATCGTCTCCACAAGGACGGACAAAAGGGGATCAAAGATTAACTAAATTCGGCAATTAAAAAGAAATAAATAAAAATGCGTCGTGCGAGATTGGTTGCTGGAAAATAAAAATGCGAATAAAACGATTAAACTAGGGGGTTCTTTCTGATTAATGACGAAGGGAACGGGGATTGATTCCGGGGTAACCAGATTTCTGGCAGATCAGGCCTAATTACATGAAATTAATTCAATTGAGCCTAGCTAATCATTACTAAGTTCTTACCGTTCTCGCGGAGTAGAGTACAATAAAGGGGACCAGGCTGATCTCTCATGCGAGAGGATCCTAAATTATTGCCAAGACGAGCGAGCTTACGGCCCCTTAATCACTACTAATCTCTTAGCGAACGATTGAGTGTGTGTGAATATGTCCTAGAATAAATTAGATCTCTCTTAATTTATTCTACAAGAAATTGTAATTCTAGCCGCGGTTCCAGGTTACAAAAGATATCAATTAAATCCTTCAAACACAAATTAAACGACATTCATGCAATTAAACCGAAAGGAATCTAGCCATACATCATGATCAACCCCTTCATCAATCCCAAATCCCTAATTAAAACTACTCACAATTCATAATTGAAGAATCAATAGAATTGGAATAAAAAGAATCAATTGTCATTAATTAAAAAGGTGGAACTTACAAAGAATACCAAAAGATTGATGAACAAGGATGAAAAGCCCTCTAAAAATCATGCTAGACACTCTCTCTAAGCTCCCCCTTCAAAACGGGGGTTTACAGGCTGTTTAAATATAAAAATCGGGTGAAATTTGAGCTGAATTGGGATTTTCGGAGGCAGGCACGATGCCAGGCACGATCGTGCCTACGATCGTGCCTCCGGATAAAAAAACGCGCATTTTGGGCAGGCACGATCGTGCCTCCCTCCATGCACGATCGTGCCTTGCTGGCAGTAACTCCTCGGTGTTTTCTCTTGACGCACGATCGTGTCTGACTTTGAGGGCATGATCGTGCCTACATAACTTCCGAATTTGGCAATGCTTTCTTCATGAAAGTTGTAGATAATGAAGTCCTCTATCCAACCCAATTTGCCGAATGTGATTTGAATCATCCAATCAAGGGATATGATCAAAACGGTGGAAGGTATCATTCTGAAATCGCAGTAGAGAGCATCTGACTTCATCGTCTGTTTTAACCTTCTTTCTATCAGATGCTCGCAAAGGTGTCTTCATATGATTTGTATCCCTTGAAGTTAGCTTTCATATGGACTTTGAATCGTGTTTTTTGGATGTTTCTACAAGGAGATATGCTTGACCGATTGACAGAAGGTCATCCTGATTGTCGTTTTCAAGCTTCATTCATCTTCTTTTGACCCCGTAGCCAATCCTAGAGCTCTTTTGTCATCAAATATTCAACGTAAACCTACCGGTGACCTCCAAAGCTCTCAAATCAATCTCGAATGCATCTCGAATCATCCCGATTGCTCTTCAAGCGCCGGTGCCAAACTCTAAATTCCTGATTTTGACTCCAAATGACACAAAACTCGAACCAACGCCTGGTAAACATAACTTGAACAAAAATTGAGACTTGCAACACCTTAAAGCTAGGAAAACCATCAAAAGCCGATCCCAACACGCATCAAATGCGTGTCAAAATGTGGACTTATCATTGATCTCCTATGCATTTAAAGGAGAACAATTTTCTTCACCTCAAATGAGAGTGATGGTTCACCCCACCCTAATTGCTTGCCATCTGGCAAGACAATTCTTAAATACTCCCTATTTGGCAATTGTTTTAACTTTTAAAGTTTTGATCCAATTTTTTAAAATAACATACTCCATCCGTCGGTTATCACTTTCCTTTTATGGACGTCCCATATAAAGGTTCACATTTCTATTTTAGAAAATAATTAACAATCTAAAGTAACAAATTAATCATTAAATATTAAAAATAATACATTTATAACATCACAATTATCAATACTAATTACATTATACTACCTCCGCCCCTTAAAACTGTGCCAAAATTGACCGGCACGGAGAATAATAAAGTAAAAACTATGTGGTTGAAGTTTGTGCAGAATACAGAGATATAACAGAAACCACAAAATAATTGATTAAAAAGTAAAGTGAAAAAGTTTTTTGGGACGCCGCAAAAAGGATAGATGAAAAGTTTTAAGGGAGGAGGGACTAATATATACCTATCAAATTATTTCTCAAAATATTCTCGGAGTACTTTATTTAATTATTGTCTAAATAACTGTGTCATTTTGCTATGGAAACCTTCCAATGGACGGAGGTAGTATGATTTTTTTTTAAAGACCTTTCATATAGTACCAAACTACCAACATTGCATATAAAAAATTACGGAGTAACAAAAATTCCAGCTAGAAATGAATATTCATAAAATTAGAGCTTGTTGCCTGACAGCTCGAAAATCGGCTGATTTGGTTGATTCTGCTGAAATTTATGAAGTTCTGACGGTGGTGGTTGGATTGGCTGATTCTGCTGATTTAAGAAAAAAAAAATTAAACTATATTTTATTAATAAAATAAAGAAACTATTATACTACGGGTATGTAAAAATAGCTAAAGTGGTCATCTACAGTAACTCCAGCCAATACAGCCAGAAAAATAATTTCAATCTTACATTTTTTTGCTTATTACACAATTCAGTGCACGAAAGAAAAAATTACTTGTTTGGTGAAAAAGTTGGTTGGTAAGCCTAAAAAAATTATTGTCACACGCCTAGAAAAGTATTTTTTGTTCCCAAAAAATTGTACTCCCTCCGTTCCAAAATGATGGTCATGTATTTCGTTTTAAATATGTCCCAAAATGATGGTCCTATTTTCCTTTTTGGAAAGAAAGATGTGGTCCGCATCATTTCACCTTTTTCTACTCAAATCTCAACCCCAATTTTTTCTTTTTCAACAGACTTTATTAAAATTTGTGCCAAAAGAAATAAAACTACCTATGCTAGTATCAAATTGGGACGGAGGGAGTAGTATGTAGGTGTTTCAAACGCGTTTAAAACGGAAAAATCTAACTGGGGAGGTTAGTTCGATTATGATATGTCGAATTCGTTGCAAATGGTCGGCACTGTTATGTCACTTATCATCTTGAGACGTGACAGGCATTTGCATTATGACTACTAGTATCGCACCCGTGCGATGCACGGGACAATTTTTTGTTAGGGTTGTATTTTAATTATGAGAAATACATATAGAAAAATCAATGATTATGCATTTAATATAATAAGATTGAAAAAAATATATATGATATGAGAGAAATATTAATAAGTTGTTGAATTAAAGAATTAAGAACATTATAATACAAAACAAACTACACGTTTTGAAAAATTTCTGGGTATACAACACTTATCATTGAGTTACTGGAGGCACCATCGGAGTTGCTTATAAATATTTCAATCCTTCACGTCTGGTAACTCGGGAAACAACAACGTAGAGTTGACCATGACACAATACCGGGGTTTTTAGGAACAACTCAATTTGAGATAGCGATTGTCCTTGACTTTTGTTGATTGTCATTGCATATAGAACGTCTTAACGAAAGCACTAAAATTTATGAAGTTCTCTTGATGCATTACCTGATTATGATGATTTATGAAAAAATTATACGAAGTATTTAAAATATATTTTATTAATATACATATATATATAATATACTAAGGATCATTTAAAATATTTTTAATATGATGTTTTATTTATTTATTAACAACAAATATTTTAATTTTTTTTCCATAAATCAACAGAAGCAGCCAATACAATCAATTCACTCACTTTCATAAATTTCAATAAAGTCAATTTCAATGTCAAACGGGTTCTTAACCCACACAACGTTGGCCCAACTTGTTAGAAAAAACCATGATCCACGAAGAAACTTCACGCAGCTTCATTGTAACCTTCATCCCTCTCTCTCACACCCTATCACTCTCTTACACCCATCTACGTCCTTCATTCCGGACCCCTTCCACACACTATCCAACTTCTCTTCCGACAGAAGTCTTGGCGTTCTTTGAGGTCTTGGCGTTCTTCATAGTCAATTTCCAAACTTTTCTGTCACTTATCATCTTGAGACGTGACAGACATTTGCATTATGACTATATATTCGCGAGGCAGAGAATATCACGATATTGTTGCTCTGCCACGCCCTTGGGCTGACACGGCATGGCAATTACTCCGTATTTAAGTAAAAAAATAAATAAAAAAATATGGGTGTGCCTAGCAAGGGTTAGGTTCCGGGTTCGAATCCCGGTAACGGTGAGAGGTTACTATGCTAAAAATACATAGGGCTTCTGCAAGTACCGGGAACGGAGCCCCACTCTCTATGTCAGATTGTGATTATTGTCCAATATACATCCCCACATCGTGCCGTCCGTTGGGGGCCCTCATCTTTTTTTCCGTATTTAAGTGCAACGGAGTACGGACTACGAGGCACTCTATATCAAATTTGATACAGTGCCCGTCCGGCCGTCCCAAATGGATTACAAAATAAATGTTCTTGATCTGAAATTTTTAAGTTTTGATCTGATCTCATCTAATCCCATCTAAATTTTTATGATCTAATCAGATCTCATCTGAATCTTTATGATCTGGTTTGATCTATAATTATATATTTAATCACATATTTTAATTACGTAGTATATTATATCTATAATTATAATTATAATACGATAGTATTTGTTTGTATAATTATAATAAATATAGAAATAATTACAGAGTATTATAATTATAAATCATGTTTGAACTTTTCTGATCTTATCTGATCTGAATGTTTCTTATTTGCTCTGATCTAATCTGAATCATTTCTAATTTGATCTGAATTTTTCTAATCCGATCCGATCTGAATAAAATAAGAATAAGCAATAAGTAATAAAAGTAAGACAAACATAACAGTTTCTAACCCTTCCCTTGTTTAATGTTTAGAGCCCGTTTGTTAGCACGAAAACCGGTTGATTTGGCTGATTCTGCTGAAATTTATGTTAATAATTTCATCTTAACAAAGTTTTAATCTCAAATTAAGAGAATTTAAATCTCAAGTTAACAGCAAGCACTTCACAAATAAAAAGAAGTTAACAAAGTTTTAATCTCAAATAAAGAGAATTTCAATCTCAAGTTATCAGCAAGTACTTCTCAAATAAAAAGAAGTTACATCTTTTATTAACAGCAGTTGCATACTTGCATGCATATTTGGTTTTGAAAAACAGTGTATTCCTCCGTATTTCGTAAATCATTTTGTATGATTAAATAAAAAAATTTAATTTTATAAATACACTTCAACAATTCCACCGCATTTAATGTCAACCACCGCGTTTAATGCGGCGTCACATCCATCCACCGCATTTAATGCGGTGCACATGCGAGTGTCGGTGCCACCCCGATTGAGGTGACCCCTCGGCCGTTAGATTATTGACACATGTACTCTCATCGCCTTTATGGCTGCTATAAATAGCAGCCCTTGTTCCTCTTGTAAAGAGGCCACAAGGAGTTCATTTAATACATTTGACTCTCTCTCCAAGGGGTGGACTCGGGCCGGGCGGCCCGACCCGGGACCGAACCGGCCCGGTCACTGTTTGGCCCGGCCCGGCCTGTGGCCCGGTGGGTCCACCGGTTCGGTTTGGCCCGGCCCAGGTGCTGGCCGGTCCGGGCTCGGGCCCAGCTTTTGGTGAACCGGCCCGGCCGGTTCGGGCCCGGTCCGGGCCGGATTTTGATTTTTTTTTTTTTTTTGAATTTTTTTTAAGTTTTAGGTTGGATTAGGTATTTTGGGCCATTTGAGGTGGTTTGGGATGGTTTGGGGTTGAGGGGGAGGGGTAGGGGATTAAATAGGAGAACAAAAAATAAAAAAAAAATTAATTGGGCCGGTTCGGCCCTGCCCGGCCCGGCCCGGTTTGGCCCGGAACCGGAACCGGCCACCGGCGGTTCGGGCTCGGGCCTCCCCTTTCCTGGCCCGAGGCCCGGCCGAGCCCTGGCCCGAGGCCCGGCCGAGCCCAGGCCCGAACTGGGCCCGAACCGGCCCGAGTCCAGCACTACTCTCTCCTACTTGTTTGCTCTGACTTCTCTCTAGGTTATTCCTCGAATAACCCCTCGGATAAGCTACCCCGGGTACACTGTCCATCATTTAGTGCTCTCGTTGAGATAAAAAATACTACGTACTACATAATGCTTACACAGTTTTAATAAGCCTAAGTGAGATTTTAAAAAAAAAAACTACGTAATAGACCAGAAATCATAAGGGACAAGATTGGTACTCAAAATTGCATAAAAAGGGTCAATTAAGTCCTTATATAGGAGGCTCCTTTCCGGCCGTCGTCATTTGGGGTGATTCCCGGTGGATTTTTTTGACGATTTTTTGAGCATCTTATTCTTTAAGTCTAGTTTACTCATACCAATTTTCAGCTAAAGCTTCAATCGGGAAGGCATTCAAATGAATTCTTGAAAATAACTACGCTTTTAACTGCGCAGTTATCTTCAAGAATTCATTTGAATGTCTTCCCGGTTAACGTTTTAGCTGAAATTTGGTATGAGAAAACTAAACTTAATGAATAAGATGCTCAAAACATTTCATCAAAAAATTCCACCGGGAACCGTCTCAAATGGCGACGGCCGGACAGTAAGGACTTATTTGACTCTTTTTATGCAACTTGGAGTACTAATTTGACCCTTACCTCCATATGGATATGTTACTAGTAGTTTTTTTTCCTTTAAAAACTGTTTTAAACACGTACTCTGTTTATATTTAAATAAAAACATGTTTAAAACTTTGAGAGAATTCCCCAAATAGAGTAAAAACGTTTTGAAATTCCAAAATAGAAGTATCATGTTTTTTATTCCATGAATAATAGTAAATTTCTGCCAAGTTTGGCATTACAAGGTTTTTAACTTGGCATTTTTTTTCAAACTTGGCATTTACTCATATTCAAGGAATAAAAAACATGATACTCCTGTTTGAGAATTTCAAAACGTTTTTACTCCTATTTTATTAGGGTAGCTTCTGTAAAACTTAAGACAATAAAAGAGAATAAAATGTATACTGTAAATTACAAAAAACAGAAACTTGAATTGATCCATTGAATGAATGAATTAATATACAATTACTCCGTATTTAACAATGGTCGACCATGTTTGAAGAATTTTGACCAAAGTACACTACATATGGTTTACAATGGATAAATATTTTTGTTACAAACAAGGACTGAATATTTTAATTGAAGAACATAATCCAGATTATAAATACTCCTCGCTCCGTATTTTATAAATGAATATGTTGCATAACGTCTTATTGGCACACATTACAATATAATATCCAGAATTTAGTATAAAAAAATTACACTTGTAGGGACAATTGATACTCTAAACAAATATCATAAGCCATTCTAAGTCTGAGTAAACTAATTTGTTTTGAATTATTGTTTTGCAGGTCATCAAACGGCCTTCGTTGCATATCCAACTCTATGAACTTTAGTGCAAAGACTCCACAATCGTTTGTAATTTGCTGTGGGGCATTAGGGCGCACCACATCCCAAAGTGGCTTCCGGTGTGCTGTGTGGGGACCCAAACCACAGTGATGTGCAAGAATAGGGAACATTTTCCTCAAATGAATTAATTCTGTTTCCAAAGCAAGTATATCCATGAAAGTCCTTAGGGAGTCAAACACAGTCAGCTTTCCTTTTTCAAAGTCAGCACGTATAGCCACCCAATGACTTCTACCAATATTATGAGGGAAATAAACAAAGCTTATATTTTTCCAAGGTTTGATATAAGGAGCTCCATACGTACCATCAACAATTTCTTTCATCCTCTCTCCTACTTCAGGGAAAATCGGGTCTCTAGCATTCCTTTCACACATCCCACTGAAGAACTCCGTAAGAACAACAACATGAGAAATTTTTTCCTCATGTACACGTCTCCTTAGAACAAACATATATTCATCCATGTGCTGCAAAAATTGAAAATGACATTTATGATTTATCAAATACAGGTACTCCTTGTAATTCACTTTACTCACCAAGTCACCTAACCAACCACCAGGTGTCAACAATTCTGTCCACCACCTTCGGGCTTTTCCTTCACTTTCTGATGTTTTATATAAATTGCATTGCACTTCCCTTTTCTCCTCAATGGCTTTGTGTATGAAAACTCTGAAGGCTTCTAGTGTATCGTTGGAGGGTGCACTGCTTTTAGGCTTTTGGCAATACATGGTTGAACGGTAGCCTTGTTTGTACGAGGGTCTCTTTATTCTCTGTCCCCTTCCCGTCTGCTAGAAACCATATGGTCATCACTTAAACATAAAACACACGAAAAAAGACAATATTTCATGAATTATACATACCTCCTGCGTTATAACTACAACATCTTCACAATCCATCTGACTTGACTGTTCGACAAAGGTACTTCATTCTTAAATATGAAAATGAGGAAAAATAAACATAACTGCACAATTTGATAACGGTTCCATAAATGTACTACCACCAATCCTCACCCGAATAACACCCATGAGCACCTTAATGTAGGACATGAAAACATACTAAAAGGCAATTCTACTAACCTCTGTATGAGATGATGGTTGCACCTGTTTATTAGTATTTTTATTTTGATCACTCATCTGAGATGATGGCCGAACAAATCCCACCATGCTTAACAAGTCCTATATGAAATACGGTAAACAACATTTAGCAATGAAACATATGAACCGACATTTTTTATGAAAATGCGGGTGAGTAATGTATACCTGTACACATCCTTTTTGTGATTCATCAGGTGCTGTACATCCGTGAATTTCTTTTTCCGCGTCATACTTCACAAGAAGGTAGGAATTGAGCACTTAATACACATTAAAGTTGTCAAAATTGACTATTCTATATTACTTGTAACGTTGTCACAGGAGAAGGCGACTTACCTCACTTACCCTTCTCTTCAATAGAACAACATGTCCTTCGATAGAGACAAGCCTATTCAACACATTCTCCCGAAAATCATCAAACTTGTTTTCAAAACAGACCAACTGTTCCATCAATTTAGCCACTGCGGTAGAATCAACTTGACCCTTCCAATTATTTGGGGTTGGGGGATAGTCCCTCAATTCATGAATGACTTCATTCCCCATGTGGGGATAATCAACCCTCGCCTTTTTCGGTGGGGGTGTTTCCTTGAATTCCACTTCCTGCTTGCGCGATTTTGACCTTGTACTACACACTGGGATGAGAACTAATTTTTTCTCCAAGTGCCTAACATAGGCATTTAGCTCACTATCCAGGTGGTCCTCATGTAATGGCTTTAAACTCAAAACCCAATCAGCTTCTGCTTCCCGTGAATCAGGTGCAAGAATACTCTGCACACTCTTGAAAAAAAAGTGGGGCCATGTGATGACCATGTCTAACTGTCTAAGTTGACTTCATTGGTTAAGGGCGAAATTCACAAGAATAATCCCTACTTTTATGGGTTCTACAATGATCCCCACTGAGGGGGTGTTTGGATATGATTCTTAAAATTGTTTCTGATCCTTCAGGGAGCAGAAGCAGAAGTCATTTGGGTGCTCTAATTTAGTCATATCATTTTCATTTACCCCAGTGCCACAAAGGCTCCCACCTAGGGTGGGGTAAGGGGGTCGGATGTACACAGTCTTACCCCTGTATGAAAGCATAGAGACTGTTTCCGGATGACCCATAGTAAGAATCACGTCCAAAATTGCATGGATTGACTGTTGTATCATAACAAAGAAGCGCAGACATTTTACTGAACCGTTTTGCTTTATTCCATCATATTCTCAAGCCAAAAAATAATGAATCTTTGGCTCCATTGCAAATGATGGAGGGGCCCTAATTTACTCATAGAATAAGTTTTTTAGAAGCTGGGGGACCAGCTTCTGAAAATTTATTATGATTGTACTTGTGCTTTAAAAAAGAAGCAGAATCAGTTCCAAACCCCCCGAGAGTGTCCATGAAATTAATCTGAATTAGCAATAGTGTCCATAAGAGTAATAAATTAATCTGAATTCAAATTAATGCTCATTTGATACTCGCAATCCCTACCTCCACTTTCCCATTCCCATTCACCACTGTCCATCTCAATTCACACGATTATGTTTCAACCTAGAAAGAACCATATGGCGGAACGGAAATGATGCTAAAATGAAATGGACTTTAGTTTGAGTTTTTCCCGCAAAGAAGAGTCGGGAGGAGAAAAGTGAGAGTAAAGGTTGAGAATATTAAACGGACATTAATTTGAATTCACCCCAATTTATTTCTATGAACACCTTTGGTAGTCCGGATTATTTTTGTGAACAGTCTGGGTAGGGATTATTATTGCAGAATCCCTAAAAGTAGGGATTATTCTTATGAATTTCGCCTAAATTAAGTGAACAGAACATACTTTTACAGATTGAAGTGCTTCATCAACATCCTTGTGGTCTATTTTCTTCCTGCGTTTAAGCTTCCAGAGACAGATTCGTGGACTTGCCTGGACACTTTGCTGGTCTTTGAATGCAAAGGTTTTTGCAAAATCAGGCACACACTCGAAAAGCAAGATCTAAAAACAAAGGAGATAATGAAGAGAGGTTCTAGATGTATTATAATGTGAAAAATATATACTCCATAATTGATTTCTTACCGATATGGGGAGTAGAAATCCAGTATAGCAAAGTGTTCGAGATTTTTTTTTGCAAATTATCTCATCGAGTTTTTTCTGTAAATTCTTATTCAATGAATTAAGAGACTCCAAAAATGCCCATGTACCCCAGGGGAACACTTCCAGTGAACATGAGCAAGCTACCTTCCCTAAGATCCAATCTGGAACTGAAGCATTCCTCCTGGCAGGGCCTAGAAGAACCATAACTATAAACATAAGTATTGCCACTCTAATCACCTCACGGTGTGCTTCCTCCCTCTTCCCTTGATTGTTATCCTTCAAATTTTTGCACAATTGCTTAAATCTATGAAGGATAGTCTTATAACTCACTTTGTTTTCACGTCCACCACGAAGCGCGGCTGGCCAATTACAGTGAATGAAATTGGCTCTTTCATGCTCATCATAGTCTTTCTCATATCTGTCCTTGTCCAGGAAGCTGCAGTTTAGCCCAGTGATCAAGGCAAACTCAACAATAGAATACCGAATAGGGACACCCTTAAGGACAAACCAGATATCAGAACTCCTCTCCATCTTAGATAATCTCACTAACAACGGCCACACCAACGCGGGTACAGGAATAAAATCTATATCCAAATACCTGCCAAAGATGCTCCTCCTGAACTCGTCCAACAATTCCGGATAGTCATAAAGGCATTGCCTCATTTGTGTTTGAAAGGATCTCAATGAATTTTTTATTGTGAGCTTCATTGGTGGGAAGAGCTCGCTGTCAACATGAGCAGATATCAATGGAACCTTGACAACAATGTTGAAATTACACATTAGAAATCATATAAAACGGAGTAGTATTTAGGGGGTGTTTGGACGTGGTTCTTAAAACTGCTTCAGCTACAGCTCTAATTTATTAGTAGAAGCAGTTAATAAACTGAGACCAGCTTCCGAAAACTGAAGTAGATGCAGAATTAGTTCCAAACACCCACTTAATGTGCGATTAATGTGTTCCTTTACAGAAAATGCTTACATGAATTTTATCGATTTCCGCAGTAGTGGTAGAGGGTTCATCGATTGCTTGTGGCTGCAAATCATGGCAGAAATCTTTGTCTTCGGTCACTGGTTGTATTTGTGACAATTGAACAAGTAATGGCCTGTCTACTGGTTTAAGCAAGGGAACGGTGGGATTCTTTACCTTCATAGTGACCGAGAGATAGGTTAAATTTTATGTTTGGGGAGGAGGCCGCGAGTTTGGTGATATCGACGAACTAGGACTGTACTGCATAACCCACCGGATCCGACTTACCCGATCCTATTTTATGGGGTATTTGATTTTTAAAAATACTAGATTCTCACCCGCGCGATGCGCGGGATATTAAATGTAATAGCGATACGACATTATTTGTAAATATTACTTGGCTGTGTAAAATGAATGCAAGTTATCATAGACGTAACATTATACTAAATTATAATTAAAGATCGAATAGTTAAAACTCAAAGATAGGTACGGAGTAGTGAGTATCTTTTGGAATAAGTAGAAAAAACTAAACAGCATATAGGGCTTCACAATCTACACATTGCGAAAAACTTCCTTATAAACTACATCGGTGGTATGGTTAGGTGGCTGACCATCTTCACGCAGATCAATATATTCAAACCCTTAGAATTCGTTACCCTTGACACTGCAACACACCCTTGACACTTCAATAAGAGTCCAATATGAGACAAAGATTTTCTCTGACTCTTATTTATAGTAATCATATAAGAGGTCATGACTGTAAATTGTCTTCTATGAAACTTGAACGGTATTCTTGAATCTGAAGAAGTTAAGCAAAACCTTGACTATTTCATGCCCAACATATTTTCCGCCAATAATTTTTGCCCTTAGGATGTGATTCCCAAGTCGTGTAACAATTAGAGGTCATTTGACAACACTGTTTTCAGTTTATCAGGCTTAGCAACCAGCTTTTTCAACAAACACGAAACTTTTGCTTTCACGCGTTGCATTGTGTTACAATCAGAAAAAGTAAGGTTAGATTTACTCTTCTGACTATATTGTCTGAAGTTACTGTAGATGATGATTTTAACTATTTTTACATGTGTTTTTTTTATTAATAAAATACAATAATATATTGTAAAAATTATTTTTTCATAAATCAGCAGAACCAGCCAATGCAGCGACTTCAGCCAGAACTTCATAAATTTCAGCAGAATCAGACAAATCAGCCAATTTTGGGGCTATGAAACGGACTATTAATTTTTTTTTCATTGCAAAAGCCCCATTAAAATTATTCTTTCCAAAAATTAAATTCATTAAAATTACAAATATAGTGAGTACAATAGAAGTGGGCTGCTAGATATCACGACTGATCTATTCGAAGGGGGAATTGAGTCATAACCATGAAGCCTAGGGTTAGACAAAACCCTTTCCCCAACTCCAGAAGCCTCCACGCCCCCTTCGAACATCTCCTTTACCGACCATCTGAAAACAATTCCCGATTCCTCTTCAAACACAAACTTCTTTGATGGTAACCTCCATTCGACATCCTATGAACAACCACATCCTCTTCTCATTCATTTATAGTACTTAGCTACCACTCAAGCAAAACCCCAGTCAACGTCGATCCACCGGTAGCGGGATGTTTTAGATCTGAGGATAAGTGGCCGATACCTAAAACATCAAAGGTTCTCAAAGACCGGGCATAAGAGATCTTTTAAAGGTACGCTTCCTACAATTTTAAGTTCATTGATTTGAATTTCAAACTGAAAATTGATTTTTTTCGAAGAGGTGGACGGAGATTCCGCTGAAATTTAGAAACGGCCTAATCAAGGCGTTGCTGATAGACAAATGCTTCTCAAAATTATCCCTCGTATTTTGAAAGTTGTGTAACTCCATTGTAATTTATGCAATTGATGGTATTTTACTTTTTTTAATGCTCATTGTTTTACTATTTTTCATAATTTCCATTGATGGTTTCTTATCCATTGTTTAAACAGATGCTTGGAGAACAAAAATCGGAATGGTGCAATATGGGTAAAATCAATCGTAATCTGACTATATAATATTCCTTTTAAAAGTTACAGTGTTGACTCTAAATCAATATTAATGTTTAAAAGCTACAGTGTTGACTCTAAATCAATGATTTGTTTGAAATGGTTAAACTCTACCTAATTTGCCTAACCTGCCTATTCATCATAATCTTAATTACTGGCGTATTCATCAATATTAAAATCTCTAGTATGAAATTACAAAAAAAATAACCTCCACATTTTTAATCATTACATATAAACTAATGAGTTCAAATAAATAATTTTCTGGGATTAGCTAAACTCTGGCTATTCTGCCTGTTGTTCTCTTATAATATAGTTTCCCGAAAATAAAAACAATGATTTCCGGAGCATAACTAAAATCTGCCCAAGCTGTATAACTTTAAATCTTACAAATTAATCTCTTGAAATGAAACCAATTATCTTTCCTAAACTCCAACAATTTGCCTAGTTTTTCTTCTCTATATTACTCTGTGTATGCTCAAGTATTAAAAACTCTAGGTGTTTTATGCTCTAGAAAACCTTTTGAATTTTCTAACACTAACTTTGTGATTATATTTCTAAAATAAGACCTAAATCATCTTAAACATACCTTACTAAAATGTCTAAACTCTGCCTAATCCGCCTAACTTGTCTTCATAATCTTAATTACTGGCTAAACTCACCATTTTTTACTTCAAGATGACCTCTGTAACACTCTCACAACTTTAACTCTCAAGGCCCAACTGGACTTGGTACGATCAATGTCTTTGATCAAAGACCACATCCCTGTTTGGGTTGATGAACCTGCCATTGATTAAGTAGTAGTAGGAATGATATGCTTGTGAAATGCTTGTTTGTGGTGTGGTTTGCAACCCTATTACGTGTATTTATAGGTACATAATGGAGTGTCTTCTAAAAGTAAATTGGTTTTAACCAATGGTCCATTGAACCTGAATCTTTACTAAAGATTTTGTAGTACAATCATTAAATGAGATCAATAAATACATTGAACTTTTTATGAGAGCTTTGATTACACATCTCCATTTAGTTAAGGCATGCGGACATGTAAATGACATTTAAGGATTTTTTTAGTACAAACCAATTAATTCGAAATGACATAGGCCCTTTTTTAATATTAAAATTGTACTCTACATAATCTTTTTATTGAGCCCTCACAATGCTTTATTGGGTGTTGGGCTTTGCATTTAATGGTGTAAAATTTATCCACAGAAGCTGTCAAACCCATTACAAAAGTTTTTGCAAAGGCATGCATGTGTATCGTTGTTGGTTTGAGGGTTATCTAACGTTACTAAACTTGAATACTCGTATGTTTTAGAAAATAGTATTGCAAGGCATTATTGTTTTAATGCTTTTCAAATATATGTCTTTCAAAAATTTGTGAAACACAGAGCTGAATGGTTTCTAACTGTAAAAATCATTTTTTATTGTGTCATCTAGGAAATGGTTTCAATAAATCTTGCAGGTTTTGATAGGAGAGATGTATTTTTCTTATTTTTAGTTATTAGGTTATCATATAGACCCTTAAAAAAAGGTTATCATATAGAAAATGTATAATTCATAGGTTTTGGAACTTTAATAATGTTTCTAATCATATAATATTCATAAGTAAAATGCATTTAATAATTAGATTAAAATATGATATGCAGGTCTGAAGTTTGAATAGCTTCAAAGGCAGGTATAAATCTCATTATCATGTCATTTTATTATTTCAATAATAGGCTTATTTTTTGGCTAGTCCTCACACACTCAAAGCTGCAAATTTGTTTATTTTTCGACTAATCATCTTACTCTAAAAGTTGAATATAATTTAATAGCACATGTGATATCCTTGATCATTTAGAGTAAAAATGTTTGTCATTCTTGAAATATTGTATATATATGTATTTCACTTTTATTTAAAAAAATTGCACATCGCTAATAAACCTTGGTGAACAATTTTAAGCATAAAATTTATAAGATATATTATGAAATCCCTGTGTCATCCCCATGATTTTTACCTGCATTGATCTTACCTGTATCATAAGATTCTTTTTGAAAGAAATAAAATATCAAAAATTAGAATACATGACGATAAAGAATAGCATATCACATTCTGAATTGATTCATGATCATGTTCACCAAAAATTGATTAATAGTCAATAGTAACGTATCAACACAATGGCCTCCATGTCGATTTTAGGGATTGTTAAACTTGATAAACACTACTTTTAACACATAATTTCTATTTATATAATTTTCAAGAGTTTTAATCACACTATATACCTGCCATGGTAGAAATGAACTGCTAGTGTCCCCCTCCTAAAATGCGGCTCATACATCCAGAGCAATACTATGTTGTGTCCAGCTAATAAAATTGGACGTGTATATATATACTACAATTTCAAAAGTGCTTCGTATATGTACAACAAATTACTCGTTGGTCAATAAGATGTACTCGTATTGGCTTTTAAATTTTACTGATGTGATTTTTGAATTGACATGCACAGGGCTCAATACTTCCGTACCAAAGAAACTGACCAAAGTAGATATGCTTGTTATCTGCAACCCATGGACAGCTCATACGAATTTACCATCTATTATTCCTTGGACAAAAGAGTATTAATAACCGTGTAAAGCTCATCAATAAATGCAACCTTTATTGAATGGTACTTTTTGCTCAGCAAACTGCCCAGACCCGAATCTCTGTACCCGACCCGTTTTTGACCCATAACTTTGGGCGGGAACACTGTTCATTTTTTATCTTCCTTTTGTATAATAGAAGATTCGGGAGTTAAATATGTTTGAATCTGCACTTAATGGGTAGGGTTGCGAAATTAAAATCTCAAACCCGATAGTACCCAACCCGGCCGAAGTTTATTTTACTATTATTATGCTACAACGTGTTCTTGGATAATTTCAATTTAAGACCAATGTGCTCTATCTAGGACTTTATGATATTATAATGGAAAAATTGAAAATAGTAATCCCAACTATTGCCGGTCCACTGAAAATAATCCCAACTATTGATTATTTTTTTATAATCCCAACTATATAGACTATCCGCCAATAATGGTCCATGACCATATATTACCTCTATAAAAAGTGAATTTTAAATAGAAATTAAGCGTAAAAATTAAAAGTTGTGATTATTTATAAGGATTACTTGTTATATCTCACCCCATCCACTTTAGAAACTACAAGAATTTATTCATAGGGACCATTATTGGCGGAAGGTCCCTAAAGTTGGGATTAT